ATTCTCTCTTTGGTTATCAAGTCACATGACGTGGATCATTTGGATCTAAATGATCCATGATCCAGGAGCGTGGATCTGACGATCCAACCACACTCCCGTGGAGAACGAAGGTTCTATATAAGACTGGCACGTCTGCCATTAGATAGGAGCTTCGTGCTCAACTTAGTTATCAATCTTATCATATTAGTTTGACATCTTTGATACAAGTAACGAGTTCACTTCCNTTTGACATCTTTGATACAAGTAACGAGTTCACTTCCAAGTGAACAACCCGATAGTCTTCTTCTTATCATAGCATACCAACCAGCGAACACCCAGCCAAGTTTAGTTAGCCAGTTTGAGTATTCGTTACAGTTCGCTAAGATAATTCCCAATTTGGCCTCATTCCGGAAAACCTACTTATTTCGTCCCACCTCTCCACTTCATTACATCTCCTCGTGACTAAACTCCACGCCTTTATCCAAGTCTTGATCCATACTCTTATACTCATCACAACTTAAGGAATACCCCCCATGAATCCCCAGCCTCTTTCTAATATCCGCCATTCTAGAAAGATCAAGAGAGCCTTGATTTCCTCCAAAGACTTTATCCATATCTTCGATAGAGACACCCTTTGTTTCAGGAACACAGAAGTAGACCCAGACCAGAAGGATGATGCAGAACTCTGTTTTCGTTAATACTGGAATGTAATGAGGGTGATAGAAAATAGGGGAGACAAACCAAGGAAGAAGTAAAAGGTGCCGAAAGTGATGGATTTCAACATTCTGGGTGTGATAAGGGCAACGATGAACTGTAAATAATATCAGTACAAACACCCAAGCAACAAAGTACGAAAAAAGATTCAGCTATCATGCCTTACATTAGTCAATCAATTCGTCGAAATCGCCACCACAACCGCCTTCGCCCTCACCCCCGGCGGAAATATCTCACTGGGCATAATCCAATTCACACACCCAATACTAAAAGCAAAATTCGAAATATAAATCCACACAAACACCGCAGCAGTCCAGCCCGCAGCTCGATGTTCCAACCAGGAATCCTTATAGATAGCATACAACGTCCCGACAAGCAGCTGAGAAACACCCATCCCAACCGCGCCGGTCATCAACACTTTTCTTCTTCCCCAGCGATCGAGAAACATGATTGCTGGGATCGTCGAGAAGAAATTTATTACGCCCACGACGCCTGTTGCTAGGAGGGAGACGGACGACCCCGTTAGGCCGATGGCGACGAAGATTTGGGGTGCGTAGTAGATGATTGCGTTGATGCCGGTGAATTGTTGGATGATTTGGAGAACGTAGGCGATAACCAGACGACGGTTGAGATGGCGGACTAGGAGGAGCTCTTTGTATTGATTTAAGGCGAGTGTGAAACGTGAGGTCACGCCTGGGAAGCGAGCTTCGGTGCTTTCTTGTTGGAAGATTACGGCTGCTTTTATGTTAAGCATCTCAAGGCGGATGCGTGGGTCGGATGTAGGGACGCGACGGAGACGAAGAAGAGTGGAAACTGTTTCTTCTTCTCGACCTTGGCATTGTTAGTTTTGAAGAAGTGTTATTTGGACTTCCGGGCGATTCTTGCCTTGATTCATCAGCCATCTTGGGCTATATGGAAGGAAGATTGTTCCTGCACCTAAAATCATGGAAGGTAGACATTGAAGTGCAAGTGGAAATCTCCATACAACTTCACTTTGTCCGTCGCCTGTCCCTCCAATGTATTGCGTTCCATAATCTAGCCTGTCAAATCATCAACCTCCATCTTCGCAGAAAATAGACGAAGAAAAGAGACATACCAAAAGGCAATCACAATGCCAACCGTTATCCCCAATTGCTGCAATGCTATCAAACTTCCTCTGATATTAGATGGCGCCAACTCGCCCAGATAAAGTGGCAGAACCATGCTCAGCTGCCCAATAGCCAATCCAGCAATGAACCGGCCAACGAAGATCATAGGGATATTCATTGCTGCAGCTTGAATGATGGAGCCGATGAGGAAGACTACATTCGCTAATAGTAGATCCCAACGGCGAGATATACGGTTGGCAATGGGTCCGTTGATAAGGTCACCAAACATGGCTCCTAACGTGAGAACTGCTACCATCCATTCTTGGAGATCTGGGTCGTTGGCCAACAGAGGAAAATGTTTTCCCTGAGAAGGAAACATTAGGGGCGGGCACGGAGTTGATTTGGGGGACAGAGAGCTTGTCACTTACAAAGTTATTCATGATGAGAACTCCAGAAATGACCCCTTGGTCATAACTTCACGATATTATTAACAATCAGTCATATCAAAAGATTAGAAGAAACACCCACCCAAATAGTACACCACCGATGGATGCAAATAATGCCAATGACAGAATGTATGGCTCTTTAATCAACCCTTTGTAACCTATCCAAAGTTAGAAGACTTCGCCCGGGCAATATTCAGAGTCATTATCTTCTGATCAGATGACAATTTTCGGAAGAAGTACCAGCAGGACCATAAGATAATTCATCTTCCCCAGACCCAACATTTGCGACAGCAACTACCATCTTTGTAACACCAGCCACCAACAAGCCAAGCCACAAAATAGTCCAAAGGATTATGAAAAACGAACAATACAGTCAGTCTAAAAGATCCCAGGAGAATATGCTTTCAAGAGAGTACATCTATTCAGTGTTTACTACTTCGAAATGCAACAAATATATATACACAATCTCAACCATAACCGCGAAGTGATATCAGGAGAGTTTGATTACCCCAGAATCCCCGCATTCTGGCTACAGTAGCCAAACCCGCTTACCCCAGAAAGATAGTGGATGATAGACGACATCGTTACCAATGTTTTACCTTGTGGATGCAACGAGGAATTGAAAAGCGGCACTCGGCTATGTCCCAATAGCTTACAAGGAACAAAAAGTGGTGTCTGCGGGTCATGAGGAACATGAATGTAGAGGGTCCTGTAATCTTTTGTTGCTTGAGCGGATTTAAAGGATGACGTTCAGTAGGTGTTAAACGCTGGAATAGATGTAACTCTGCTCTCTGGATTATTCAAACATTCAGAGTATTTGTAGAGAGGTAGAATACTTTGACAGAAGTTCAAAATGCCGCACAATTCGATGGTTTATCAGTAACTAACAAAATAAGCTTATTAATCATCAATCAAATCACCCCGCCGCTTTACCCACCCCCAAAAACATGCGAATCATCCCACACCATCCAACATAAGAACCAACATCAACCCACACCATCCATCGGAGCACAGTGCTCCTGGTGTAAAGATATCAATCCATCCCTCAATCAGGATACCCGCCCAAACAAGCGCCCATGGAAATCTAGAACTTCCCTCCGGCGAAGCAGAAGTCTTTGCACCAGGAGCACAGTGCTCCGATATACGACACATGACGCCACAGGCCAATACGATAGACTGACGGAGCACATAGCACCGGGGGCGGGGTATGGGGGTTTGGGATGGAGGGGAGGTAGGGATACCCAGAAGAGGTTGGAGGGGTAGAAGGTAGGCCGAGGGATGGGGGAATATATATGAGCGTGTCGGCCTGAGATACTTTATTACAATACCATTTTTTCTCTTGCATAGATAAATCGCCTATCTTGAACATATTATCAAAGATAACTCTCAAACCTCAAGAATCTATCCCAAGCACAGACTTTACACCTTAATTCTCCAATATGGGTACCACAAACGGAACCACCTTTGAAATCCCCAAACAAATGAAAGCCATCAGATACAACAAGCTCAACGATTTCTCCCTCGTAACAATCCCCGTCCCCTCGCCCAAAGGCCACGAAATCCTAGTCAGAGGCAAGTTCTCTCTTATACTAATTCAAAAAAAAAAAACAGGATCAAAGCTAACAACCGGTCAGTCAAATCCTGCGGCGTCTGCGGAACGGATTTGCACATTGCACACGGTGATTTTGAATCAGCACTCACACAAGGAAAGGCGGTAGTGACAGGTCATGAAACTAGTGGTATTGTTGTCAAGATTGGAGAGCATGTTAAGGGGTTTAAGCTTGGTGATAAAGTTACCGCGGATAATTCGGAGTTGTGTGGATATTGCCATTATTGTCGTCAGGGGAAGATGTTGTATTGTGAGAATTTTGTGGCGCATGGTGTTCATAGTAAGTACTTATCGCAATGTTTGCCCACGGCGTATTTCTGAATGAGAAAACGTATACAATACCGGGGTTCAATCGTAATTTCTGCCTGGAATACCCAATACATGTGCAGAGTTTGTGTAGGGATTAAGATCATAAAAGCTAATAAACTTTCATCAATAGTTGACGGTGGATTTGCTGAATATTGCGCATACCCAGCCGAAAAGCTTTTCCATTTCGAGAATCTATCATGGGAGGAAGCCTCGTTATTCGAGGCCGCATCATGCGCAGTTCATGGCATGGATAGAATTCGTCCTGAAGTTGGTTCCAGCATCTTGCTCATCGGAGCCGGCGCCACTGGTTTGTGTCTCGCTCAACTACTGAAAGCCAATGGCGGAGCACATATGGTTCTGGCATCTAACGAAGGTCAGTAAAAGGTTTCTGAAACAGTCATGGACCAATTACTAATTTTGGACTGTTTAGGACCTAAAATGGAGCTTGCAAAGAAACTCAATTGTGCAGATGAATACATCGAGTTGAGCCGGACAGATCCAAGCAAACAATGGGCTGCGCTGAAAGCAAAGTATCCATATGGCTTTGATGTGGTTGTCGAGGCATCAGGAGCTCATTCAATGCTTACCATTGGGCTTGATAATGTTACCAAAGGTGGTAAGCTAGTATACTATGGTGAGTCGAATTCCATATCACAACTCTCATCCACCCAAAAAAGCCATTCTAACCTCGGTGCCAAAATTCAGGCGTGTATTCAAAGGAAGCTTTGATCAGTCTGGCACCCGCCAAGATATTCTCCGACGAAATCACAATGATTGGGTAAATCCAACTGCAGTTAGGTAACCAACAACAGTGCTAATCTTATTATATAGTTCCTTTTCTGAAATGTGGTGTCTACCCAGAGCAGTACACTATTTGGAAACAAGAAAGGTTGATGTCCGAGGTATTGTGACGCACCCATTCAAGCTAGAAGACTTCGGAAAAGCTTTGGAAGCTGTGAAGAATAAGACCTGCATCAAGGCAGCGATAGTGTTTGATTAGATGGTATAAGTAACCAAAATTCGTTTCAAGTGCCACTATGAGTCTTTGATGGTTCATCGACGACTAAAAATTCCTAAAACACACCAATATAGGCTCATATCATTAAAAGTCATCAATGAAGCAAGGAGCTATAGATCAGAATTGCGTGCTATGCCAATTGATGGTTGGATCGAGTTCTTCCACGCCGTAAAAATCCCCGGGGATATAATCGAAATTTTGATGTTCTTGGGTGCTTGGAAAACCAGAGACACCTTCTAATAGATTTGTCATGGGCGTTCCATCTAGGAAGAATTGGAGTGCAGGATCTGCGATATAAGTTTGATGCATCATGGAATCCGACTGCTGGGTTGTACCATTCGGATCGGCAAAAGGGAGGAGTAAAGAGGGGTCAGAAACGGCGTTGGAAAGGTGGTTTGTTGATGCAATGGCACGGTGGTGGTTGTGGATACGACTGAGCACTGAAATACATCGCAATGCAGCAGCATTCATAGAACCAAGCTGCGACAAACATTTCCGTGCCTCGTCAATAGCGCTCCGCCAAGTTGATGAGAGAGCATCTTCGGGTGCTTGCAAAAGCCCAACATCTAAAACCAGAACGGCCTGGAAGAGAAAATATATGGCATACCAACTCAGTCCATGATGAAGACCCCCGATACAAGAGCAGAAGCTACATATCGATTGGGCGGTTTCAATGGCCACGTGGAGACAGTTTTGCACAGCAATTTCGCTTCTCGACCGAGTTTTGTAAGATCTTTGGCCGCCTCTCCACAGAATCATGCGGAGGTTCTGCTCTTTCCACAAGAGGACTGCTCTAGGACCCAAGAACCAAGTGGGCGCATCCTTGGTGAAAAAGTAAGCAGCCAACGATTGTTTCCATTGACGAAGTTCTTCCTCAAAACGCTGAGCGAGATCCTCGCTCATCGTTACATTTCCAATATGCGCAGCAAGAAACTGATTGTATATTTTGTTGGCAATCACTGATAGACGAGCTTGAGCAATCATTGCAGAGTAAGTGGTGGGATAATCAACCGGGGGCGACAAAGATAGAGAAAGCTCATCAGAGGTCAAATGCTAACCTGGTCAGCTGAAGTCTGGGCAATATAGTGGGAGCAACGAACAGAATCATCGACATTCTCTGGCCATTTTGCGTCAATGAATGCATCCGAAGCTGTTGTGGGTCGACCCATAGTAATACTGAATCCAGAATCCACCATGTATAGAATCCACCATACTCTTCTTCGTATTTCTCGGTTCAGGGTGTTCGCCTCGTCCTCGACATTTGGAATTTCACGATGGAGGCCGAGGCCCAAAGCCATTCGGTAAGCGATTCCGATCATGTTGTAACCGGTATTAGGTCTGTCTCTTTTTTGGAGATAGTTTCCCTGTAGGACGTCTTAGCATTAGATGGAACAACATTCATTTTTCGGAAAGTTATACCATCAGCAGAAATGCCTGAACGCCGGCAAGAGTACCACTTTCCAGCATTCCTGCATCCATTCGGCTTCTCGCGGCAAGGTAATATGGCGAGTCCGCGTTGTCATCCCCTGTACTCAAAACCCAATGGCCAATCGCCAGAACCGTGTAAAGTATTAGCTGCCAAGATGACGTGTTGGGAATTTGTGATCGATTGGCGTATTGTTCTCTGAAAAGTTGACTATGCAAGACTGGATATGAGGTATTGTAAAGCAAAAAGTATGCATCAATTAATCCTTCTGTCATGATCGAAGATGTCAAATCTCCTTCCAACAGAAGGACCCCAGACTCTGAATACTTCTTGGGGACCATGCTTTGGTTTTCTCTATTTGACGAATCTTCTAGTGGATCCCCAGAATCCCGTAAAGATAACAATGAGAAGATAGTTTGTAGCATACTCGACCCAGCACTGCTGCCTGAAAGAAATTAGAACGGATTAGAACATATGCAAATACTAGAAAACATACCCAGATAGCCAGAAGAAGATGGGTCTGTAGAAAGGAGTGCCATGCCATCTTTGAAGGAATGAATTTGTTCATGATCTGTCGAAAGTGGTGCTTCATGCCACTCGTACTCCTGAGTTGAGCCAGGACTGGCTTGGTCAATCTGCTGGGGGCTTCTAGGACTCAGTTGGTTTACCGGTGGAGGGGAGGCTGATGGTAGACCATTTTTCAATAGTGACTCCAGGTCAAGCTCCGGGTTGAGGGACTTCAATAAAGCCTCCAACTTTTCGCACCTTTGTTCGGCAGCATCGAGATTTCTGATGGGATGGTCAAAACAGATTAACGAGGAGATGTACTGTACAATGAAGAGCTGACATACTTTCTTGTGAGTGGTGTTCGCACCGGACGAGTTCCATATACACAATCTCGTTGCGTTCTAAAACAGTACGCACAGGGTGCTTCTCCTGTGCACTGCCATCGGAAACGGAGTCAGATAATGGTATTAAGATTGCCCACCAAGATTGATACCCACCTTGCTTTTTCTCTTCTACTCGCATGCAGGTGGTTAGCTTAGCTCAACAGCTGACTGGGGTCGTCTGTTCCACGTACTTGACATTCAAGACACTGCAGCAAATACAACCATTAGTCTGGCTTCACATGGGTTTTTCAGAGCATTTCCAAGAGAAGAAACTGCACGTACTGCTCGCAGTTGTTGGGGGGATGGTTCCACCGGAGTGGCAGTCGCTGCACTCATGCTACTAAGAGATTTCTGTGGAAGGATTTGTATGCGTATATGTCTCACGTTGACGTCTATACCCGAGTCAATTCGAATCTTAGCCTGTCGATGGATCCATTTTCAACATGTTTTAGAGGCGAAATTGGATGCTGTCTCCTTCGGCCAAGAGCAAACTTAAATTTACCAGGCCTGGGGAGGCTTGGGAATGCGGGGGTTTGGAGATAGCAGACTTGGCCAGGTGAGTGGAGAAACAACCTGGAATTCCACGATGCCCACCTCCACCTCAGCACCTGCAGTCGGGGTGGGGAGGAGATTAGTCACGTGGCTATCGCTAAAACTTTCTTCCGCTCAAGCCTTAGTAAGCGATTTCGCTCCTCTCCAAATCTCCGTACAGTTGCATACTGTACTTGAGTATCTACCTACTCTTCCAGAACAAAACGGTGGCATGTCACTTCCACAGGCCCCGGGAGCTGTATGGCATGTCTACCATACTTGCTTACCTGCTTACCTGCTCGAGAGACACGATTGAATCAATGATGACCAGAATCCTTTCCATTCCAGTGGGCCCAAGACCTATGATCTACGAGTAGATCGGCCGGAGCCCTATCGACCTAGCCCCATCCCCATTTTCAAGCATCTTGACCACATAGAGGGAAAGCAGGAACCCAGTTTACGCTTCCAAGTCTTCTCAACTTCTATTCCTCACGTTCCCCCATTGTGATCATCACCATTTTCATTCTTTCCAGTCATATCAAGGAGCCTGTCTACTCTTCCCTAACTGATCGCGCACTAGAGCTGACAAAGAAACTCCAAAATGTACAACAACGTGTGTTGGTAGTTCTCGCTGGGCTCCCGGGTTCGGGCAAAACGACTATCGCAGATCATGTTGTACAACGTCTTAATTCCACTACCAACGCCACCGAGCCCTTGGCAGTCGTTCTCCCCATGGATGGCTTCCATCTACCACGATCGATGCTGGACGTACTCCCAAACAAGGCAGAGGCATATGCAAGACGGGGCGCCAATTGGACTTTCGATGGAGTAGGCGTATTGAAACTAGTCAAAGTCCTCTCAGAATCACGAACTAGAATCTCAGATACAATCCTTGCCCCGAGTTTCGACCACGCTGTGAAGGATCCAGTAGCAAATGGCATAGTTATATCTCCAAACATCAAGTTGGTCATATTGGAAGGCAACTACTTGCTCTTGAATGAGGATCCAGGGAGTCAGATCAACAAATTGGTGGATGATACATGGTTTGTTGATGTTGATCCAGATTTGGCAAGAAATCGGATTGCCAAACGACATATCAAGGCAGGCATTGAGTTGACGTGGGAGGATGCGGTTAAGAGGGCCGAAGGAAACGACTTGTTGAATGGCGTTGAGATCAGGAAGAAGCTTGTCAAGCCGGCATTCCTCATACAAAGCGTCGAGGAGTGACTGAGGGGATGCTGAGCAGAGAAGTCGAATGACATGGCTCCAACTTGTCCAACTATTCCAAATCTTTGTCCATCAAAACTCTCGACCCCTCTTTGCACGACAGGCCGAGGTACTTTCCTATTATAAGTGTTGCAGTATAGGATCTGGACTCTCCGTAGCCGGGCATTTGCGATAAACGAGAAATACGTGGAAAAATTACTTGCTTGGAAGAGGCTCAATTCATATCCAATCGTAACGATTTTCCGGCAAGCGCTCAATTTGGCTAAATCCGCAAACATTTGTCACCATCGCAATAATCCTCGTTCCCCTTTCTCAATATCAGATAAAGTCATTCAGAAATCAATATCCATCCAAAATGGCATATCCTGACTCGCTCATCGTCTTCCCAAAAAGGGAGTCCTCTTGGCGCTGATGGAGTCTAATTGGGATGTTGTGTACCTGAATCCATTATATCCAGAGAAAGGTAACACGGCCCTTATTTCCATTTCAATTAGTGCCTGCTCTTCTCGTTCATTTTTCACGGAGTATACACCCCGCACCTAGATGGGTGTCGGCTCAACGCACCGGTATATCATTCTTCCCTTGGTCGATTGACGTGCATTTGCTCCTATTGCAAAATGCGCCCATCAACCCGGTCCTGAAATCTTATAGCCTGAGCGTTGACATTTCAAATCAAAATTTGGCCATAGAATACCAGCACCAAGAAGTATGAATAGGGCCAAGTATCAATCATCCTTTGAAGATAGTCTCCCCCATCTATCCTGTACCTTTTTCATCTAGCAAATCGCACATACATAAACAAAACAAAATGCAATTCCTCTCCCTCACGGCCCTTGCGGCTCTCGCCTCTACAGTCGTATCCCACGGCATAATTACCTCCCCCACCCCCCGTGCCCCAGGTCCCGCCTCTCTCCAAGCCTGCGGTCCAACCGTAACAAACATCATCAAAGGTGACAATACTTCACACGTCGAGGACTTGCCAGAAGCCGCTGCAAAAGATAAACTTTACCAAGGCCCACAAGCCTGTACCCTGTGGCTATGCAGAGGACTACAGGCCGCGGATAATACGAAGAATGTTCAGAGCTGGACAGTGGGACAGAAAGTTACGATCAATGTCTCTTTGAGGATTAAACATGTCGGCAGTGCGAATGTTAGTATCGTCGACACGAAGACGAACAGTTATGTCAAGGGAGGTGCGGTCTTGGTTAATTGGCCGAGTGGGTATGCTGATGAGGGTATGTTTCTCGTATTCTTTTCCTATGACGGAGAGACGAGAGGCTCGACTGGGGTCTTGAGGAATGCTGGGACTGGAATATGTATGCTAATTGCTTTTAGCGGTCACTGCCACGCCCAAGAACCAGACCACTTTCGATGTCACGATCCCAGATTTGGGAGGCGCTTGCAAGGTTGCTGGCGAGTGTGTAAGTAATCACCTTTCTCCAACTCGACTGCCCGATTCCCTTTCATGTCTTCCTTTCCCCCTTTCTTTTTTGCAAATTTGAAGATGTACAAAGGGATGCTGATCGATGGTTCGAAACAGGTGCTTCAATGGTGGTGGTATGGAACCAAGGCAAGGCAGACTTATGAGTCTTGTCTTGATTTCACGATTGCTCCTACCACTCCTAGTGTTCGTTCGCGAATGTTTAATATGTAGATTGGTGGAGGTAAAGATGTGAGGATGGAATTTGGGGATGGTGAATGGTGAATGGTTTTTTGTTTTGTATATATGTGAAAATGGGGATTGGATGGAGGGTTGAGTGTACATACATAGGTTGATTTTAGTTGTTGTTTTGTACTTGCGCTTTTTTCTTTGCAGGAATATTGTTTGTAGTTGGGACTTGGTGATCCATTGCACATTTACGAATCGTTGATACTCCTTTCTCCTTCCCTATGATATAATAATTGTTGTTATGCCAGATCAAGGTTTACTCAATAACATTTTACTCAAGGTGTCACTTGATGAACTCGAGGAGAGGTAGTTGCTTCGAGATAATATGACGAATTGAAACTATGTTATTGTTCTAGATTTTCTAATACTGATTGGTACGATTAAAAATGTGTATTGCGGACATGCTTCAAGTACGTTAAAGACCTCTTTCCTAGCAATGGGGTATCGAAAGATATACTTCGTTTTGGTTTCTACTCCGTATCTAGGTACTGGGCAATGAATTGATCAGTTACGATGCCAGGAACATAAGCGCAGAAGTTACTAACCTTTATCTCAATCTCTATTTTCCTGCCCTGTTTAAGCTAACCGGAGAAAATATTCAGCTCAGAGTTCAATATTTTGAACACTCTCAAAGTTCACTTTGGCGGCATTATGTGACCCATCTGGAAGCACAAGTTTTAGTTATAAATTCCTAGCATCACCGCGAACCACAACTAGAAACAAGGAGTAAGGCCAGGCAAGTACATACTCATAGGATCTGAACGCAATCTACCCAACCAATTCACGCAACTCCTCCATCTCCTCTCTCGTCACTATCACATGCTTCGCAACTCCAGCTCCCTGGAACCTCCTAGCAATACTTCCTTTCTTGGATTGTATTAGGGGCCCATGGTACGCGAGGTCGTCACTTGCAATCTGCCGCAAAGTAGGCGGAAAAGGCCCATGAAGACAGTACCGGGGCCCCAGATATTTCCACCACCCTTGATCGCCCGGCCACCGTCCCTCACCAACGTCCATCCACTTGACCACTCGAATCACCCAACCAATTCCCTCAAATAGCTGGATCATAATCTCGTATTCGATTCCGCAACTATAGCAACGCTTCATCTTACTGAGTGTGCTGTTCAGCTTCGACTTATGGATTTGAGCTCTATGAAGCTGCCCGTTGGGAAGATCTAAATCCTCGTCTCGGCCGGAAAGACTTTTGTGTAGACAGATGGGGAGATGGAATTTAAGGATGTGCTGGAGTTCCATGTGTGTCGGAATGAAAATATCTTTTTGGACCCGCACGATCATACACCCATTGATAATCCTAGCAATAGCAGAAGTCTTGGAAGGAAAGGTGTCGGTCAATCTCGGCTGCCCCTTAAACTGCAACAGATCCAAAAACGGTTGGTAATCCCCTCCCATCCGATATTTCTTCATCGCCATCTGAAAGACGCCGTAGTAAAAGTACGGATGGATGTACAAGTACGCGCCATTGATGAACTCGCGGAAGAAACACCCTTGTTTTCGCCTGGGCACTTTGTTGATTGGGAGGTAGTGGTTTCGATCGCCTTTGTGGAGGATTAGACAGTCGCGGCAGGTTATCAGATCGGGATCGTCGGATTCTAGGAGGAGGAGTAAGGAGAAGAGTTCTTTTTTGTAGTCTCGTGTGCTGAAGTTTAGTTCGAGACTCCGCCAGTGGTTGCAGCCGAGGATGGTTATTAGGGATTTGCAGGTCAGGGCGAGACAGGTGACGGATGTGGGGGTGAGGAATTGTTTGAGGTAGAGGAAGATGTCGCTGTTGAGGCGTTGGAGAATGAGGTTTTCGGGTATGGTTTCTGGGGTTGGGGGACGTTTGGTTTTGAGGGACTTGAGGCGGGATTTCAACCTTTTGGAAAGGAGTTTTAATTTCTCCATGGTGTGTATTTTGCTCAATGAACAGGGGGTCTTGGTGATATGGGGTGTTGCTATGAAGTAGTTGGGAAGTGTGTATTTCATGAACTTTTGAAAGAGAAAATAGAAAACATATCACTTTCTCTCATTCAATTACGCATCGATCTACTAGTTACTGATGTTGACGTGGAGATATCATCATGATACCCTACTAAATAAATACCCACTTTGATAGTCCCGTATCGGGCCCCACTACGAAAATACCTAATTATGAAATGCCTACTCCTTTCAGTCATCTTTTGAAAACCATATGCAGATTTAGTTATAATAAACTACTTGATGAGATAATGAACAGTGGTTTCAACGTACGAGTGTAAAATATACGCACACAACCCAATCAATTTTCATCCATATACTATTAGTTAGCGTTTATAGGAGTAGGATTTAATAGCTAGAGAATTTTATACTCGTCGAAGTTCGATATTCGAGTATAATTTCTATACTTTAGAGGACTCGAATAGCTTAATTAAGAGCTTAAGTATTAAAGACAATAATATAGGAGATTATTATATACTACCTAAACTTATAGTAGAAATCTCTCTAAGCTATGCACGCTTACTAATTAGTATTAGTACAAGAGATACTCTTAGATAAGAGAGCGAAAGAATAAATGTCTAGTGTAAGTAACTTGATTGTCTTAGTATACGTACATAGATTACGAGAGAGCAAAATGTAGTTCTTGTCCCAAAACCTTCATCATGTGTAAAGGGTAACTCTTCAACTTGCAGGCTGCCATTTTTTATCCATACTAAGGTTCTAGTTCAAATTTGTAATACAATTCCTGAACCGGAGATGTCATTGGTCAAACTTGTAGAACATGAACTTATCGCTTCTATTAATATATTGCTTGTACTCTAGCCTTTGCAGGAAGATATGGGTTCAGAATATCCACCAAACATTAAACATAATTAGTAGTGGTAGTAAGCGAACCATACGAATGCCGACGTCTACAGCCGGTATCAACACTTTACTAAAGTGAAAATTCCCAATTAAGAATATCTGCATCTAACACAAAAACTCGTTAAATTTACTCAATCTCAAACAAAGCTCAAAAGTCTTCGAAATAATAGAGTGGCACTCCGACTAATGATACCGCCGTCCTCTAACCAACTTCGCACCCCCCTCACCTCCTCTACCCCTCCCCAAAACAGCCAATCCAATCCTACCAACCTGCTCCCCAGGCTTAACATCCGCAAGTCTAACAATCATCTCCCTCCTCGTTCTCGTCCAATCATTCCCATCCCAAGCAGTCCTACGAAACCTCCCCGCACCACCCACCCCACCAGCAACCCCAGACTCAAAATTATCCTCCCTATCCAACATCGCCAACCCCACCGTCCCCAAAATATCCGGCGCCAATGTAAAGAACTGCAACACCATCGCCCCCGCAACCACAAGCGCCGTAAAAAAGGACGCAACAATCAACACAGAAAGCCAAGCGCGATCACATCGGACGATATATCTTTTCGTCACCACATCCGCAGGTACCGTACTATTAGGAACTGAGATAGGGGATGAGAGAAAGGTATCAAATGAGGATGTTACACTATTCCGTCCAATGCCTAACATCAAAACGGTGTTCAAAATCTGCGTAAGACGTAGTTCGAAATTCGAGCGGCCGATGAGGTGGAGTGCCGTGTGATTCGTGGAGACGATTGCATCGGAGGGGTTTAAGAAGTAGGAAATAATCGGGTTTTGCCCGCCGGAAAGCGATGAGCGTGGGAATGCTTCAGCTAGCAGCTGGAGCAAGATTTCTGGGTGAGGGACGAGATCTAGGACTGTTTTGTGCCCGATTTCTGGGTTGGGAGATGAGCGGATTGCTGTGGGTTCGCATTTGGAGTGTGAGCAGGTTAGTGAGAGTTCGATAGTTGTTGTTGAGAGGTGGCACTCCGCGATGGTGGCGCTTTCGACGTTGTTGAGGGTTTCCCATGTTAGATGGCGGGTGTCGAAGTCTTTCTCGTTGGGGTTGTATGCACAAGGAACTGTGAGGCCGATTTGGAGTGGAGTAATGAATGATGAGACCCAGCCGCAGGTTTTGTTGAATTGGTTTGGGGGGATGGGTGGGGGTTCTGAGGTATAGTTTATGAGATGGTATTCTGCGGGCAAAGCATCGAATCTATCACACGATCCTTTGAGGTAGGAGTTTGTGAGGTTGTAGGTCGTGTTCGCTTGAGGAAGTGTCGGAAGTGGTCCAACGGGGACTCCAACTAATGAAGTGTACTCGACAGGTTTATCTCGGATATTCAACCATGAAGTCCCGTTGTAATTGAGTGCTTCAAGTGAAGGTAAACGGACATTTCCCCAAAGATCTTAATTTTGTTGTTGAAGAAGCCTGCCCCCAACAACGATGCCCTAAAGGGAGCGGCCACACTGATTTTACCAGATACAATTCCTGCTGCGTAGCTGTATTCGTAACCAGCAAAAGTATTCATCGCTGTGGGACTGGTTCGGTTAGTGTGAAATTGAGGTGCAATGTAAACAACTCGCAATGCAGCCTGACTGCCAAGAGGAGAAAGACACCAGAGAATGATGATTACTAAAGCGACTGAGTCCATTGCTCTAAGTCGAATTTGTGTGAAGAGAGCTCCGGATATGGTTCGACTACCAAGAAGTTGTTCTAGTACACCAATAGACGATCCTGATTGTATTAGAAAAGTAGCTATCGTTCTCATTGCACTGCCGACGATTGCTGCAAAGACGATGAGGAAGATAGTGGGACCCTGATTAGTTTGGTCAGTCGTTAACATGCAAAAACGAGATATCAAAACTCACATATTTGGAAATCGTAACTAAGGTCATAGCCATAGATCCATTTTCCGCTTCATCACCGTCGTGCTTCAGTACCAAGATCCCATAAACAGCAAAGAGAACAGTAATTGCAACACCGGATAATCCAATCGTGAGCCCGAGAGCGTTACTCGAGAGTGAATTTCCCAGCTCTTTTGGGTCGTCGTATATGCTCTGATGCTTCTCAAGTGTGTGTTTTAGGTCATCTTACGTGAGGTTGGAGTAATTGACGTGGGACATGTCTTTAGCGGTGTCATGTTGAACTGGGAAAATTGGTGAGTCCAAACTTTGAACATCTTCAGGATTTTGCTTTGTCACTGGAGCATAGTTTGTGGACATACTGATGGCTTCGAACGCGAGAAGGAAGAGAGAATGTGTTTTTCAGAGAGTTTCTCTTCCAGACATGTGCTGTTAAGAGACCGTGAAAACAACGTGATATTCAGCAAGGTATTCTCCAACCAACACCAGATTTTCGTTAACTATGAGTGGCTCATTAATCAATAGCCCAATGAAATCGCCCACCACACCTAACCAAAAAGTAAATATTCACTGGCAAACTCTAACATAAAGTGGGGTCTGTGTGTTGTTATTATACAGGCTATTATCTTTGCCCACTGATTGGCGGAGTACAGTTATTGATAGCCATGGGTTATTAACCAATCCATACACATGACTGACATCCGACCTTGTGAAAACACCAGTGAGTGGTGTAGAGAATGATGAAACAAGGTATGGGTAACTCGGGGCTGAACTTCCAACAAGACAACAAAACTGCATGGACCCAGCCATGATTTACGTGCAAGATCTTACAGGCCTATCTCTTAAAGATGTCCAACGGAAATTCATCCGCCAACTTCTGATAACCCACCACATTAGGATGCAAATAGTCCCCAGAGTCATACACATCACTCAACTGCGATCGAACCTTCTCATCACTAATAAACCTATCGAAATCTATCACTTCATCAAAAACATCACCTGGAAACTGTTAGCGCCTCCTCTTTGAATCCGCTTCTCAATTCAGTGCTCAGTCCTCCCCTGGAATTTGAAGTATAACTCACTCTCACGAACCCACTTATTAACCCTCTGTCTGGTCTTCTCCCTCTCTGGATGACTATACGGCTGCCCCGTAAAATTCGCCGGCGCAGAAAAAGGCGTAATAGTAGCAGCAAAAAGCCTAATATCAAAAGCCTCCAATCTCGTAGCAAACTGTTCATACGCAGAAATAATGCGATTCCCGACACCTTCTTGCGTAACAGGGTCAACATCAGCCGTGCCGATATCATTTACGCCCTCGAAAGTCATGGCGTATTTGACCCCTGCTTGCGAGAGGACATCTCGGTCAAGACGGGACAAGACATTGGGTCCTAATCCATCATTCAAGATTCGGTTTCCGCCTGCTGCTTGATTGATGACTGCTATGTTTGAGGTTGCGTCGTTTTTCTGGAGACGGTTGAGAAGCAGATCGGGCCAGCGGTTGTTTTTGTTGGTTTCTGATCCCCGGCCGTCGGTTATGCTGTCGCCGACTATCATGAAGGCTTTGGAATCGCGAGGAGCCAGAACTTCTACATTGGAGAGAAAATACCTGTGTTTTTCGGTTAGATGTTACCTAATAGACTGCTGTGAGCGATGATGGAGAAAATACCAATGATCAACTTTCTGAAGAGATTCTCCCCCCAATTCAGCCTCAGAAACCTGATTCCCAAATGCAATCCAGCTCGTCGTTCGACTTCCCGGATGCGAAGTAATTGAGTGGCCCCATTGCCCACGTTTAAGATACATAGTAACAGTCAAAATCGCGAGAGGCGCAACTTGAAACTGAATTGGATCCGAAACTACAAGAGCACCTTGAGGAACTGTATAACTTGACTGCCCACTAAACATGACATCCCGCGAAGTATCCCTTTGAATTGAATTACTGCCCGAATTTCCATCTCGGGAAAGAGCAACTGTCACATCTGAGATGAGTAGATCCTCAGGTCCAAACGCATTCGAAAAACGCAGTCGGATCTGCGATCCTCCGATGGAAGTCCTGATGGTCTGCCGTATGGTGGAATTAAAGAACACCCGTTCTGTTTCATTCTAAGAAGTGTGAGAATAAAGCAGATATAGAAAGGAAAGAAATCTTACAAAGGGTGTCGGGGGTAAGTTCTGAGGCTCCGTGAGCTGGGGCATACTTCCCCATGTTGGAATCCATTTCTGCTTATTATCTTTCGAGCGTTTGGCGTCAATTCCAGAGAAACATGTAGTAAATAAAGCTAGAATAACTAGATGACTAATCCGAGACAACATCTTGAGAATTGATGGAACAAAAAGAAAGGACATCAAAAAACAAACAAAACAAACAGAAAAAACGTGGCTATGGCTAAAATATGATCCCCACTATAGGGAAACCTTGGTCAGTACCTTGGGGAGATGAGGGGCACCAGGAACATTGAACCGGAATCATATTAGGCTGAAATACAAATAGGCGAAGGATCCGACATGACTCGTAAAAACTAACTCTATTAATTATATAGTAGCTGCATACATTAAATAGACGAGGGGTTTTTTTCACATGATCATGTGGTAGCTGCCAGGTTATAACTCACAGCGGGTCTAGAATAATCCCAGAAGCATTACACATCAGTGACCGTTCTGGAAAGGTGCCTACATAGGTAGGTAGGTAGCCTTAAATATTGCTGTTAAATATGATACTAATTATATAACAATCAATACTCCAGGTTCGCAAGTGTTGGATTTGAAGTTATAAGTAGAGACTATTTCAGCACTTAATAGCTAAAGATGTCAACTATAATACAAATACTACTAAGAAATCTTTCTAGAAACAAGATACACATAAACATTTCAAAGTAGGTCCTCGCCATAATTACTACTCTATTAACCTCAACGCTATTATAGTATACGGAGGAGAATCGGTAGATTCGGACAAAATGTGCGTTGGTACCAGGAGAACCCTTACAGTAGAGCAAGGAAGAACAACAACATTGTTCCTTTGGGCCACGGGGGTTTGGAGGCTGGCCCACCTGAATGCTAGGTAGTATTAATAAGTATACTCGAGTACCTTACGCACTGTGGATGCACTTCAAAGAGAATGGGACGAAGAATGAAAGGATGCAGGTACGAGGTAGCCCACCTCACATGACGAATGAGTGGAGGCCGCTCACGTGACTTTGCGCATTTGACGCGTCTCAACCTGGTCGTCACTCCCTTCGCTAGTCTACCACCCGTTCCTAGCTTAGGACGGAAAATTGACAACCATCGCCACAATTACAACCGCATCAACCTGACAAAATGGCGGGCGGCTATCGATCTCGTCCGGTTTCGTTAGATCAGTCGCCCCACGTCTGTGGTGATCAACTCATGCAAACCACTTTATTCAACAGTCGTGGAACTCTCGCCATATACAACCCCTCGACGCAAGACCAGCCCTCTCTGTTGTCTATTCCGGCTACCACAACCACTACCAAGACCAAAATCACTGCCACTACGCCACCCTCTAGGGGCTTGGTGATTCGCAATCATGGCAGTTGCAAGGTCACTTCCGTCAAGTTTCGTTTCGAGGACTTGCCAGCAGAGATACGTCTTCAAATATACCGCCTGCTACTCATTACTCCCACAGTCTGGAATTCGCTACCTCCTCTGCGTCTCGTGCAAACGTATGGTAGTTGCTTGTCAAGACCCGGTTGATGACGACGACGAGGATGAGGACAACTCGGAAGGCCGAGACGACCACAACAGCGAAAGAGACGGTGATGAGCAATCCGGATCGTTCGTTCCGCGTCCCGAAGTCGAAAGCTCAAAGCCGATGTGGCAGCAACACTCTGTCTACCCTTCCATCCTCCAGTGCAGCAGGTTGATTTATAGTGAAGGGATGTCTATCTTGTATGGAGAAAATGCATTCGCTTTGTCGTATCTGAATCTCCATTCCGCCGTCCTCTACCACTCTTGGCAGATTTCCTCTATCGCTACTGGCCTTTTGAGGCACGCTAGAATTTCACTGCAAAGAGCGGATTTCAATCGCCTCCTATCCTTACAAAGGGACTTTGCCGCCCTCAAAGAGTTGGAGGTTCATACACGTGTGGCATATGATGATTGGCAATGCTTGCTTCTCTTGGGAAAATTGTTGATACGTCTCTACGACAAGATTACCTTCCTACGTACTATGGAATACCATCCATATTGGGACGAATCAAAAAAGAAATACCAATACCAAGTCTTTCATCCCAGCTTCGATGATAGGCCCTCGGGAAAGGGCGTTTGTTATATAAGAGAATCCTCATTTGGGACCACGGGAGTCCGTCGAAGAGATGATTACATACCCCCGTGGCCCCTTGAAGACGATGAATATCTAGCGATGCCACCACCGAAGTTAAGAGATCGCCGTTGTTACGGATGGGATGGGGTCTTGAGAGTAATAATCTCAAGATCTGAAACCAAGCATTGCGCTCCCCCAAAAATCTATGCATGCGAGCAAGACGTTCCTCTTGATGGCCAGCTCGTGGAACGTACCGGATACGGGATTCGCCATATTTAGGGAGAATCTTTAATAATATGTGGACACTGACTAGTCAAAAAAGCTGGGCTCTTGATACTGATCCCAGCCTAGTCGCTCCTAATATCAGAGGCAAGGATGACCCTAACGCAAACTACCACTTCCACAGGGTGGAAATCTGTTCTCCTATTCTTCTCTTCACCGAGAAGTCTCTCGCGGCCGTCGCCGAGGTTTGCGGAATCCTCTCAAGCAATTCCCGTATCCACCTCAACGCCTCTTGTGGACTACATGTGCACATTGGGAACGGAATGGATGTATTTGCCGTGGAAACCCTCAGCAAACTCATGGCCACGGTCTTCACCTTCGAGCCTACCATTGACAAGATCCACCCTGCAGCTCGACGAAACTACCCACGGATTTGCCCAATGGCACCTGGTCTACGGTACTGTTCACGTCCGCGCAAGATGCAACCTCCGGAGGTTGATTCCCTAAGCGAGTACTGCGACTGAGGTCTCGATGCCCTCTTCGGCGCTCAAAGCATCCGTGATCTCTTCGAATTGGTCTGCTACCAGGACCGAGATGCAGCCATCACCAACCGAATGGCCTACAACATCGTCAACCTCCTCGAAAACGAGCCGGGAAAGCCGAGAATCGTAATCGGTGGTGGAGAAGGTCTCATTGGCGTCAAGAACTCCAAGAAGACGATTGAATTCCGTCAGCACGCTGGTACTATTTCTCCAGAGCAAGTCACGAACTGGATCTCCTTCTGCGCGTTCCTCGTGCAGTTTTCTCAGTCCGTAGATGAGACTCTGCTCAGGACGTTCTTGCAGCGCCATGCTGCTTCTACGGATTTGAGCATAGGGGAGATCTGCTCGGCGCTCGGTATGTGGGAGGTTTCTAGATACTTTGGGAACTTGCCGCAGTTTGGTGAGGATTGGGATGAGTGGGAGGAGGTTGTTGACCCGGCCACTGCTCCGTCGGCTGAGAATGCACCACGGAGGCGGGGGGCACTTGGACAGCTTCTTTCGTCTCGTGTTACTCGGGTTCTGCCTTTTTCGAGGTAAGTTTTACGATGTTGCTTCCTTCTGTTAACTCTTGATTTTTGGAGACGCTGGTGTGTCTTCTGGAGTTTAGGTAAGTTGTTTTTTAAATCTATGTCTTTTTTTTCTTTATAAATATGTTTCATCTAATTTTCTTTCCCTTTTGTATCTTTGAATGCCTTTTTCCTTCTCTTTTAACTATATCTTTTCATGTTCGATCCCCATCCCGTACTAATTCCACGATTTCTCATTTTGCTTTCCTTAATAAGGCAGTCAGTCATGAAGTCTCCAAACGCGTTTGGGTCCCTTCTTCTTCTCTAGATTTAAGCCAGAGTTTGAGGATTCCCGACGAATATATCCCCCTAACACCTTTATGATCCACAATTCCCTCATACCGAGAGCGTTAAGTTAAGTCTCCTATGTCTCACCATCTTCATGGTCAATATTATCCCACGGGTGTCTTGCCTCGGTTTCTAGACTCGTCACTTTGAATTTCCTACCTACTAGACTGAGGTGTTGAGAATTTTGTAGGTTTCCAACTGAAGCTCATGGTACTGTATATTACGTACGCTTTTATTGAAGGGTTTAGGGGATTGTCTATATAGATTCTTGTTAAGCTTTAATATTGATTTTTTCCGTGATGAAAAGTGAATATTAATGGAGGGTCAAATGGGGCGTTTTGAGATTTTATAGATTAGAAGGTAGGGTAGGATACCTGGTTGTTAACGTTACCCTATATAGAAATATATTATACTGAACTTATAATATAAGTAAAATAATTGTCTTGGGATACCTGGGCTAGTGAAAAGGAAGAGTTAATGATTATTCTTAGCTTTTTGTACAAGTATTTTAGTTGTACGACGCTTTACTCGATAGGGATTATTTTATTCTAAGGAAGGTGTATATGGAGTAACAACTATGTCTCCTACGGAAAAAGCGTTAGCTATAACGTAATAAGTACATTCGCTTGTAAGTAACTTCTTTTCTTAACTAACTAATATCCTAAGGTTTAACATGATAAGTAATATGTTCATATAGCTAAATGACTAATTGAAACAATCCGTCTTGCTAAGAACAAATCACGTGCGACACAAGATTTGTTAAAGCGTTTGGGTCTCTTTAGGAAGACAGTCAGTTATAACATGATACCAAGTTATGGCAAACCCACATCACCAGATCTCATGGCAAACAAACAGAACGTCTTCACAGAATCCGCTTTCCACAAGATTTCAATCCTCTGATACCAAAAATCACGTCCTTCAAATCGCAGTGCAATAGTATCATCTTATCTTCACAAGTAATTGATTGCATCAAACAAAGCAGGAATCCACCATCTTCCCACAGCATCACAAAAAGCTAGCTCTGAGTCCACTCCCAACAAGCGAGTTTGATGCTAAAACTCATACCCACAAGGTCAATAGTCACCGCTTCCTTAGTATAGACATAAAACCCATAATAGCTCTGCTCCAAAAAGAAAGTTTCGTAGCTATAACCTGGATTTACTTCAAAAAAAGGCTTACAAAATATCTTCAAGCCACCACAAAAACAAAAAGTCCCCCTATTCTCAAGAAACCCACCATGTCAACACAAAGCACCCAAGGGACCCAACAATTCTATACCAAACTCCTCCGGGCTGCCAGAAAACGTAACCCACACCCCCCAAAGATCAGTTGAACAACTAACAGACCCTCCCACAGACACTTTCCAACTACGATTAATACTCTATCTACTTTCCATCTCAACACTTGTTTTATTCAGTAAGTGAATAAGATCTATTCATCCCAGACTTCACAAGATTAAGAGAATATCTGAATAGCCATCTCACTATGCGGTTGTATCTCAACGTCCCCAGGGATACCGAACGTTTCCCCCGCTAGTTTAAAGGGAAATGGAACGCAGGGGGAGATTAGGATTGGATTCTTCGGTGAGTGTAGCCTAACTCTTGTAGATTGTATCACCTCTACATTACCTTACAACATCAACTTCAAACCCAAAGCCTAAACGCAAACGCAAACCAGAAAAACAAAAACTAACCCAAGCCCACCAGGACTCTGCCACCTCCCCCCCTCCAGATCCCCCACCTGCGAAGCCTCGATGACAAGCGAATGTATCGAAGACATGTTCGTGAACACCCCTTCAGATGCCATTATTATGTACGATGCATGTGGTCCAGCTGGATGCAGCTTAAGAAACCTTCCTACACCAAGAGCAGGAGGCGGCGTTACCGAATTAATAGCTGCATGTGGCTTCAACAACAATGCCACCGGTCCCGGTCCTAATTCATTCACACAGGCGCTTATCGAGGTCCTCAGTTGCGCCTCAGACAACAAAATTCGTCTCTCGGTCTCGCAATTGTCTTTTCAGGTTTTAAGGAAATTAAGATCTAGACGAAATGATGGCTCACGCACGGCAACACCTGTTCATTCAACTTTGAGATCCGATGAAAATGGTCGGCAAATCTTTCTACATCCGCTATCTTATGTTAATGAACATCAGGTTTCACAACAACTAGCGCCTCTACGATTTTGGGAATCACCTTCAAATTTTGTCATATCTTTCGACAGAAGAGGGTCAGAGTATCCAGGTCCTGAGTGGGAGGAATGGTTACTTCAGGCACCAGCTGATGCTACTAAACTCAACTTCCACATCAATTGTGGTTTAGATACTAGATAGTTTACTAGAAGAAGGAATGTCTTGATGTATTACAAGTGGGACTTTCTAACTTCCAAGAATAAAGTTAATCTTTTGCGGGCTCGTTTCCAAAATATAATCAGTGAGGTATAGATTCAAGTACTTGGACAGCAATTTATAACGACTTCGAGGGAGACCTTTGTACCTTCTTTTATTCTTCATTATAAAAGTAAAATCCAGCTAAAACAGAAAGCTAGTAGTTGGTTATACTTTAGATAAGTGGTAAGAGACGTGATCCTTACTTTATACAAACCTCTCTTATATAAGGTTACTCCAAAAGAATTGTAAAGTTAAATTAGCTATATAAAGAGCTTAGAATAATTGTAACTTGTTGATTTTTATTAGCCTAGGTATACTAATATAATAATCCTACTTGTACCAGAAGTATAGTATAATAACATTTTATATGGTGTGTACAGAGTAATGACTACTCCTCTCGCTACTAAGAGTATCTTACCTGTCAGCATTTGTTACGCGAGTACAATTTAGAGCCAAAAGCCAAAAGTGAATAAAGACAGAGGAGGTTGGAACCGAGCAAAGAAATAACTACTCAATGACAGAAAGTTACAGTATCTATACGCGTGAGAAGTACGAAAACCTCTACCGCTAACAACTTTCCTCCAGCGCTCGGCAACTGGAATTCCATTCTTTTCTAGATGGTATCATAGTAGTTTGCAGGCACAGGTGAGCTGAATTTTCCGCCAATCATCCCGCATATACTGTTCTCCATTCTCACCGGGGTGCGCATATACAGTAACTAATTATCTTGGCATGAAGTCCCAAGATACGGGTACCGGCACAGTACGAGAGGCAGGCATTACACTGTACACACCTAAGTTATAAGAATAATATACTAAAGACCTCATACAACTAAATTAATTAGAGGAATAGTTTAGAATAGTTAATAATTCTTACTCTATTTAAATCTAGGTAACATAGGACGATTCATTTACTTGTACTAGACTTTAAGTATAATAACTTTGGATGGCGTGTACAGATTAATGACCAGGTTTCTTACAGGCCAAATACTGTATCATCCCGCGCTTGTGCCGTATTAGGAATGTGAAATGCTGCCACCAATAGGGAGATGTTACTGGGTACCTTCTGCATAAGACAATGCTTAGGTGACAATGGGTGTGTGAATCATGCACTAGGATGAACAATTGCCGTTGGCCCGTTGGGATATCCTACAGCTGTAGATTCCAACTGTTGGTGATAATGCACATGGCCACTATAGTATGTTAGTTCAAGCTCTTTACGGGAGACTTGAAAGGTCAGAATCCCACCGTGGCCATTAGGTAGAGGATTCTTCTAGTACCTTTCTCCTGTCAACGGGTCACGACTGCATCATGACAGAAACTTTGAGCTATCATTACATTATTGTCGGTGGCGGTATTGCCGGCTCAGTAGTAGCCTCTCGCCTTCATGAAAAACATCCCAAGTTATCCATTCTTCTCATCGAAGCAGGGCCAGATGTCTCCAAGAATCCATTGGTAACAGATTCAGCAAATGGCCCGTTCCTAGTAGGCTCGGAACTAGATTGGGGTTATTCCACCGTTCCGCAGCGCCAATTAAACAACAGAATCTTGCCCAATAACGCTGGAAAAGCTCTTGGAGGAGGTTCAGCAATTAACGCGGGTGAGTTTGAATTCCCATCTCGCGTGGGATCGAAATACTGATTTTGAATCAAGGTGGATGGATCCGTGGCGATGCACATGATTACAATGCCTGGGGAAAACTGGTAGATGACCCCAGATGGAGCTATGATGGGTTGCCTCCTTACTTCCGTCGGACAGAACATTATCACAAACTAGGTCTGGATACCCAGCACGGGTACGAAGGACCCCTTTACACCCAATCAGTTTCATCCACCGGACGGGAATATCCTTTGCGTGATACTCTGCGAAAGGCCTGGGAATCTAACGGCATGAAGTATAACGAAGATGCCAATTCCGGCTCGCCACAGGGACTTTCTGAGCTTGTAGAAAACCGGAAAGATGGCCAGAGACAAGTAGCGAGCACCACATATTCCCTTACGGGAGTTGAAGTTATGACATCGACCACGGTCGCCCATGTACTCTTTGATACTCAATGTACGAAACCCAAGGCGACGGCCGTAGAGCTTGTAGATGGCAGCAAAATTGTCACCACGAAGGAAATTGTCATATCTTGTGGTGCATTCCGCACTCCTCAAATCTTATTGCTCTCTGGAATTGGGCCCAAAGAACATTTATCGAGCCATGGCATCCATCAAATTATCGATGCTCCCCATGTTGGACAGAATCTGCATGATCATATGTCAGTGGGTCAATGGTGGAAATTGAAAAAGGCCAGAAGCAGGATACGCTCTCGGATCTCCCCTTTTAAACAACCCCAACTTCGCGAAAGGCACTCCCATGGACTGGGTGGTCACATATTCAGTCCCTCATGAAGGGCTAAAAGCCGCTTTGGTAAAAGATGAAGGGAAAGTAGATGATATGCATCCCCTTTTAAGCCCAACCCATTCTCATGTTGAAGGTTTCACGGTCTACGTTGGGGCAAACAAAACAGATCCCATCATACCTATAGACGGAAGCCATGTCACGACAGTTGTGCTTGGTGGTCCTCCAACCTCGAGAGGAACAGTTTCCCTGGAATCTTCTGATCCAACCGTGGCACCAGTTATTGACCCGAATTGTTTTTCCACAGAAGCAGATCGATAAGTGTTACGCACAGGACTGAGGAAGATCATGGAGGTCATGTTAAGCACCACAGATGGGGACGCCTTGATAGAGACAGAAACTGTAGCAGCTGGAGAGAAACCCTTGAATTGGAAATCCCAAGATGCGGAGATCGATGAGCGTATCAAAGCACGTGAAAAGTATGTGTTAGCCCTCTATTTGAAAGGAATATACCCTGACTTTCTCCATAGGACTGTATATCATCCTGGTGGTACTGCTGCCATGGGAAAAGTTGTCGATACCAGTTTACGCGTATATGGAGTTGAAGGACTGCGTGTCGTTGATATAAGTGTACTTCCTTTGCCCATTTCGGGTCGTTATCAGGCTTGTACTTACGCTCTCGCGGAGCAGGCAGCCGGGATTATCGAAGCCGACTTGTAACCATGCTTTCCTGTTTATAGAATATGATGTGGAAATATTCAGAAGATCATGAACCTTTACTTTGAGGGATTTGTCAATATAGATATCGGCGTAAAGCACAGTATCCTCCGAGTTCGCGCACTCGAGTTATCCTCGCTTAGCATCGCCAAGTGACTTGGACAAACTATAGGGTACCTACTCTCTAGATAGATATAAAGATTCATCTTGTTGAATAATCCTACGTACTTTACCTAGTTGACTCGAGTATTTCTTTAGCGTGAAAACGTGTGGAGCTTCCCGGAGTTACAGTATGTAGAATGATGTTATACTAAAAGGGGCCTGGGGATAAACACGCCCGTGGTACTAGATACTATTGATGTATCTAATCATCACTAAACCGTAGGCCATACTGAGAACGGTTCCCATCTAGAAGACGGGAAAATGAGAATAAGAAACGAGAATTAGATACGTCCACCTAATGCATCGTGGGAAGGTATTGAAGAGTAAATACGGCGCACATAGACCCCGGGAATTAGAAGATTCCAAACCACTAGTTGATGCTATTATTAGGTTCGTAAATAGGCTGAAAAGCCATGAGAAGGAATTACTTATTGGTAACAAGATACAAAACATGCACTCCTTTCTCTGAACTAAAAGACCTATTCTCTTCTACCTTTACTCTTTGTGCTAGCATCAGGAACTACCTGCATCCAAGCGAGTAGCACATTTAGTGGTCAGATACCATCCAGTGGTTCGCCACATCTGGGTTGGACGCGTCATATACGTATGTTGATAAAAAATTCTAATCCATTGAACGTAATGTGTATGTCTAATCGCACGCAATTTTAAGTACTCCAGCAATTGGTGAAGGTACAGCCGGTATCACCATTGCCTCACGACTTGCCAAAAACTATAACGTAACGATAGTAATGATTGAAGCAGGGGATTCTCAAAGGCAGATAATGGTAAACTTAACTATCTGATTTATGTGTGTATAATACAATAGAGCTAAATTATTTATTTGGTAATTGGCTAAAGTACTCCTTGCGTGATTAGTATTTTCTTACTAGTACAGCATATATTCGTACCGGCACCGCGCGCCGACACCAACCTTGCCCCACTACAGTACCACAAGGCTCACCTCCCAAAGGAAACAACATCCCTCAAAACATTTCAAACCACATTCCAACTGCATTTACCCTTCTGGCTTTCCTCTCCGTACCATACTTGTACGAACCCAAGGAACAAAACCCATCTCAGCTTTCATGTCGTGGTCGCCGGGTCGCACGATCCGGCTGTCCGACCTCAAACAACACAGGAGAGCCCCGCCACCCGCGAGTGCCAAAGGTGAAACGCTGGGCAAACCCTTGATAACCGGGAGTGGGAGCGTAGAACACAGAAGCAGGGAAGGGTTATATATACTATTAATCAAATTCTAGACGTCCTTTGGGACACCATTAGTACAATGGTAGCAAAATCACATTTCAAAATCAACTTCTTTCTCCGGGATGGCATGTATAGGGCTAGGCATGTGGCGATTGGAAAGTCAAAACGGCGGTTCTGAGGTTTCTATATTTGGATCGTGATGGGGATGTGGAAACGTCGTACGGTAGGACGATGGAACGATATTAACATCATGACAACTTGCGGGGCTCGGGGTGTCGAGTCCTGGTCTGTTTTTGTGTACACCGTAAGTATGTTTACTGCACAGGGGAAAGATTTAATAACTATTATACTTCGTATGGGAAGGTATTTTATAAGTACACAATACCCGGCAGTCGGCATGTGATGTCTTGATCTTCGACAACCGCAGCTCACAGCCCACCCCCAAGATCCCCAAGATCCTCAAGACCCCACCAAAAAGGCTTGACACATGGACGACGAGGATCTGATCCCTCTTGTGTCGCAAACGTTTGGTGGGGAAGAAGGACTTCAAGACGACGGAATGAAGGGATCCCTGCACTTGAAACACGGGATTTGACTTCACGAGTGTTTAAGTTTGAGCTTGGGGTTTGGGAGGCGTTCAATCAGCTGAACTTTTTTTTTTAATCTTTGGTTCTCTCTTTCGTTTTGTTTTGTTGCTGTTGGAACTCTTTTGGTTCTTTTGAGGAGTCTTTTATCTGGTATTTGACGAGGGAGTTGGGTTTTGTTTGATTATACTTTACGGAGAGAAAAGGGAAGCACGATTGCTACAAAGGGATAAGGAAAGCTTGGACGAGACATAAAGCACAAGACGATATTTTCGATTGGAAGAAAACACAAGTCCAATTCGAGAAGAAAACACATCAAGAAGAAAGAAAAAGAAAGAAAATGGTGTTCAACAATATTCTAACCTTAGAGGTTCTCACCCTCCTCACCTGTCTCACAAGCGCATCCAAAGTCGATGCCCCATACCCAAACCAACAACAAATACATTTGGATCCCGCCAACGGCCACAGCCACCACCACCACCACAGCTCCAACACCAGCCCAGCTTCAAATCAAGAGCGCGGCTCAACTAACAGCTGGGAAAGGTCCTTCCTACCAGGCCACCGAAAATTCGATCTCTTCGAAAACTCATGTCCTATCCCCTCCAGCGAACTGGTCCCATGGCCCGGTGGGATAGGAAAAGGGTCAAAATGGACGGAGGTGCCACATTGTACTCGGATGCCTCATGTCACCGCGACCACGGGAGTCAAGAATGAGACGGGCATCAATGATACCTTTTGTACTTTTAGCACGAAGAGCTTCCAGGGCGGACGAGGGATATCAGTAGCCACCAAACCACACATCGCCGAAAAGATTGCGACCCTGCCCGCGTTCAAGATGTCTTCAGGTGTAGATCTATGGAAGAAAAGCTATCCTCCATTTGAGATCAAGCCCGTCCCTGGGAAAGGGATGGGGGTTATTGCTAACCGGACGATCTTCCGTGGGGAACGGCTGTTCGCTCATGCCGCGGTGGGAATCTATCATAATGATATCTTTCTGACGAGACGGAGTAAGGACTATAGGCTGAGGAATAGAATGATGGAGGTTGGGGTTGATAAGTTGCCGGAGGAGTCGAGGAAGAAGTTCCATGCTATGATTGGACAGAAGAATGCGCATCATGTGGTGCAGGGGCAGTTGAATGTTAATACGTTTGGAGAGGATTTTGGAGGGGAGGAGCATAGTATTATTATCCCTGAGACTGCTGTGAGTTTTTCCCCCCCTTATCTTCCTCATATTCTTTTTCCTCATCTTTCTCATATTTTTCATGTTTACCGAGTATGAGGGGTGGATGTTGTTATCTGGAGGTCAGCATATGAGAACGAAACTAACTGAAAATAGAGAATGAACCATGATTGCAGACCAAAGTAAGTAGTCTCAATATCAAAATCCAGGAAGAAGAAAAAACTAACCTCACTCACCTCAGTTCCATGTATTACTTCGACCCCGAAACCCTAATTCACTACACCCAAGCAGCACGAACCATCAACGCCGGCGAAGAAGTAACCATAACCTGTAACTCCCCTCCAACCCCTCTCAAAATCCACCCACTGACACTCAACCCAGACATCGACCCCCTCCAATCCCGCGAAGACCGCCAAAAAGCCATCACCTACTCCTGGGGTTTCCAATGCACCTGCTCACACTGCCTCCAACCAACAACCTACAGCGAAGCCTCCGACGGACGAATCCTCGCCATCAACTCACTCGTCAAGCTCTTACTCGGCGAGACCAAGTTGAAAGGCAACACCACCCCCTCGGCGGCTGAAAAAACCAAGATCGCAGAGCTCCTCGTGGATTTGTACGAGCAGGAGCGGCTGGTGTCGCATATTGTGGATGCGTGGATGTGGGCGGCGCAGACGCACAAGGAGGCGGGGAATCTGTGGGAGAGTCTGAAGTGGACGTATCGCTCCGAAGAGGGGAGTTTGATTCATGAGGGCCCGAGGAATGAGGCGGCGACGAGGATGGGGAATTTGGTGCAGAAGGTGAGTGAGAAGTTGGGGGTTGATTTGGGGTATTTGACGGAGGAGGATGAGGAGTAGGGGGTGGTGGTGTATGGTTATGGGGTTTGGGTGTTGGGGGTGTAAAAGTTGGGATTTATGTATGTTGTTTTGGGATCGGAGTTTGAATTGTGTGATTGTTTTTGAATGAGAATGTTTTGAATAACCATACTTGTCCTAACTCTTAATCTTTACTTTCTTCTACCACCACTAAGTATAAAATACCAAGAGAGAAAGAGAATAGTACCAAGTACTAGATAGATGAAATAACCTATGGTTCTTTGTCCGTGCTTTTTACCCTATCTTCATTACTCTGTCATCAAAAGTACTATGAAATAAGTAGGGTTTCTAATGAAATACCGATCGAAGTGTACTGATCCAAAAACCGCAACTCATTTTCCATGTCTCCTTGGTGAACAGCCCCAAGATATCTCCGCATCTCAAATCACCTGACGTGCCCCCGATAAGGATAACGATAACGATAGCAGCCTCAAATGCAGCCTTATATTCAGGAGAGGAGAGGGGATCCTTGGACTCATGAGGGGCACAGCACAACACAGCCAGAAAAGAAGCTTCGAGATGCAACAAAGAAGGAGCCATCCAAGAATGGAATTGTCTGGAAATTTCCATTGACTGAATTCAATTCATAAGGAACAGTGAATCCGGACAGCCGAATTCGACGTTTACAACCATAGCAAACGGGTGCCTTGCGCTTGCCGTTGCCGCTTTCGACAGGAAGAGTGAGAGTGCCGGGCGAGCTTTTCCTAAAGCGGCATGACATATCCCGACTAGCAACGCCGTAACACTGCCACCGAGGAACACTGCAACTGAGGAAGACAGCGAGGGAAGGAGCCACTACTGTCTCAAAAGCGCATCAAGTGGGATTTCTACTTTTGTCTAGAACACGGTTATGTTGAAGTCTAGAAACAGCAATTCAATTCGATTCAATCTCGAGGCATTGTAATGTACTTGATATTACATCATTGAAAAGTGTCGATGGTAGGCAACTCGTGCCGCTTTTCCCATGAGAGTGCAGCTAGCAAGGTGACAGGGCAAGATTTGATAGAAAGCACTAGAAGGTCCGCGAGGCTGGAGTCGCAGCAGCGGCAGCAGCAGAAAAGTGCAGAACTTTGGCGCCCGCGTTACGCACGGACCATCGAACCGCATGGAAGGTCAACAGCAAACCATCTATATTTTTTCTCCCTCCCTCTGCGTTTCTCTATTCTCTCCCTTCTCCATCTTGCGCAAATTCTCTCCATCCCACTTGCAAAATCATCCATCTCCATCCACCATCTCCTAGACACGCTGTTACGACTTCACGAATAGAATACAACGAGAGGTAAGCTCCCACATTTCCAAGAACTCCCCCACCTGGTCTATGCTGCCATGCTGCGATGCTGCCCTCCACCTTGGACAGAGCTCCCCCTCAGAATCTCAGCCTCACCACGGCAACAAGAGCATTGCGGAGTCTGGTGTTTCAGTCAATCTCAGCCTCAACTCTGATTCACATCGTTTCGAGCATCTCAGCATGATCAAGAGTCATCTGCCCCTCATTACTACTTGATACTCACATTCCCCTCTCCAGACTTACGAAACAAACCGTCATCATGGCCGGCGAAACCTTCGAGTTCCAGGCTGAGATCTCTCAACTTCTCTCCCTCATCATCAACACAGTCTACTCCAACAAGGAGATCTTCCTGAGAGAGTTGGTTTCCAACTGTTCCGATGCTCTCGACAAGATCAGATATGAGGCCCTCTCCGATTCGAGTAAGCTCGAAACCGGCAAGGACCTTCGTATCGACATCATCCCAGACAAGGAGTCCAAGACCCTGACCATTCGCGATACTGGTATTGGTATGACCAAGGCTGTAAGTACTCGATTCACACCTTCCGACGACCATGGACTAACTTTCCCCAGGATCTCGTCAACAACTTGGGTACAATTGCCCGATCCGGTACCAAGCAATTTATGGAGGCTCTCACTGCAGGTGCTGATATTTCCATGATTGGTCAATTCGGTGTTGGTTTCTACTCCGCATACCTCGTCGCAGATCGCGTCACCGTCATCTCAAAACACAACGATGATGAGCAATACATTTGGGAGTCCAGCGCTGGTGGAACTTTCACCCTCACCCCAGACACTGACGGTGAAGATCTCGGACGAGGAACCAAGATGATCCTTCACTTGAAGGACGAGCAGATGGACTACCTCAATGAGGCCAAGATTAAGGAGGTCATCAAGAAGCACTCTGAGTTCATCTCATACCCAATCTACCTCCACGTCTTGAAGGAGACCGAGACTGAGGTTCCTGATGAGGATGAGGAGACCAAGGCTGATGATGATGACGAGAAGAAGGCCAAGATCGAGGAGGTTGATGACGACGAGGAGGAAAAGAAGGAAAAGAAGACCAAGAAGATCAAGGAGTCCAAGATTGAGGAGGAGGAGCTCAACAAGCAAAAGCCAATCTGGACCAGAAATCCACAAGACATCACCACTGAGGAGTACGGTGCTTTCTACAAATCCCTCTCCAACGACTGGGAAGACCACCTTGCTGTCAAGCACTTCTCCGTTGAGGGTCAACTCGAGTTCCGCGCCATTCTCTTCGTTCCAAAGCGTGCTCCTTTCGATCTTTTCGAGACCAAGAAGACCAAAAACAACATCAAGCTCTACGTTCGTCGTGTCTTTATCACTGATGATGCCACTGACCTCATCCCAGAGTGGTTGAGCTTCGTCAAGGGTGTTGTTGATTCCGAGGATCTTCCATTGAACTTGTCTCGTGAGACTCTTCAACAAAACAAGATCATGAAGGTCATCAAGAAGAACATTGTCAAGAAGGTGCTTGAGCTCTTTGGCGAGATTGCTGAGGACAAGGAGAACTTTGACAAATTCTACACTGCTTTCAGCAAGAACATCAAGTTGGGTATCCACGAGGACTCTCAAAATCGAAATGCTCTTGCCAAGCTTCTCCGATTCAGCTCCACCAAGTCTGGCGATGACATTATCTCCCTCTCCGACTATGTCACCCGCATGCCAGAGCACCAAAAGAACATGTACTACATCACTGGCGAGTCCCTCAAGGCTGTCCAAAAGTCACCTTTCCTCGAGTCTCTTAAGGAGAAGAACTTCGAGGTTCTCTTCTTGGTTGACCCCATTGATGAGTACGCCATGACCCAATTGAAGGAATTCGAGGGCAAGAAGCTTGTCGACATCACCAAGGACTTTGAACTTGAGGAGACTGATGAGGAGAAGACCACTCGTGAGGCTGAGGAGAAGGAGTATGAAGGTCTTGCCAAGGCACTCAAGAACGTCTTGGGTGACAAGGTCGAAAAGGTCGTTGTCAGCCACAAGCTCATTGGTGCTCCCTGCGCCATCCGTACTGGTCAATTCGGTTGGTCCGCCAACATGGAACGTATCATGAAGGCACAAGCTCTCCGTGACACCTCCATGTCCTCTTACATGTCATCCAAGAAGACCTTTGAGATCTCCCCAAGATCGCCAATCGTCAAGGAACTCAAGAAGAAGGTTGAGGCTGATGGTGAGAATGACCGAACCGTCAAGTCCATCACTCAACTTCTCTTTGAGACCTCCCTTCTTGTTTCTGGTTTCACCATTGAGGAGCCAGCTGGATTCGCCGAGCGTATTCACAAGCTTGTTTCTCTTGGATTGAACGTTGATGAGGAGCCAGAGGCCGAGGAGGTTACTGCCACTGAGGAGGCTAGCGACGTTCCTGCCGAGAGTGCCATGGAGGAGGTTGACTAAATGCGTGCTCTTTTTATGAAAACTGGTCTTTTTTTGTGGCGTGCGTTTGGGGAAATTTGCGGAGTTAGATATGGTTGGGTTGGGCATTGGTCAGTCTTGCATCAGCCTGCTTCACGTTTTTTTCCATACCTCTTTTTTTTATGCCATCACGGAATCATTGTACGCAATGTTGAAGGGGAGATGGTACGAGATTAATTTTCTTCCGAAAAATCACATGTATCCTAGTCTTGAGACTTGGTGAAGGATGAAGAAGAATTAAAAAAAAGTTACTCAATAATATCTTGGGGTTTTATTTTTGTGATATAGATTGTAATATGAAATGTTAAATGATGTTTTAGTACTGTAGTACTGTACTTAGTTTTTTCTAGCCATGTAGTAGGGTAGTGTGGTTTTGTATCAAGCAGCCTGTCTCTAGGAGTATAGTACGTACTAGTAGGTTTTCGTGGGAAGATGGATGGATAAATTAATTCTTTGACTTAACGATACGAATTATTTAAATAAACTTAGAATTACCGACTAATAGATAGATTTACTACGTACTTGAGTTACTTGAATCAACTAGATTAATTAATTTAAACAAGTTATTCTAATTAATCTAACTTTTAATTTATAGTTTTCTATTATATACGTGTGTTTGTAATTAGCTACCTTAAATAGGAAAGTAGAGTTTTTTTAATAATCTAGAGACTTTTACTTAAGGGGCTTAGATAAATAAGGGGCTTAAATAGAATCTAGTCTAATAGACGAAGGGTAGTTTATATATAAAGATAGTTTTATATAAAGAGATAGTTCTAGATATAAGATAGTTAAGAATAGTTTTATAAATATAAGATAGTTACTGAACGCTTATAAAACCTTTAAAAGTTTAAGTAATTATTTTTAAATAAAAGCTTATTAAATAAAAGCTAACCTCTTTTAATAAGAATATTAACGTTCTTTATATTTATATAGTTAAGTATGTTTTATAACTAGCTTTTAGTAACCTTATCTTTTTTAATTTATATCTTTATTCAATAAGCTTATAACTAACTAATTTATATAGTAAATACTAGCTTAAATAGTATATTAGTACTTTAACTAGTAACTATATAACCTACTTTAAAAACTCTTATAAAACTATTTTAATTAATAGTATTCTAAAAGAAACTAAGAGTAGTAAACTAAGTTTCTTTATTTATATTTATAGTTTAAATACTAATTTATATAGAAACCTAGAAGTAATTCGAAGAAAGTAAGCTAAGAAATTTAATTTAAATTTTAATACCTTTAAGAAAAAAAATAAAGGTTAAATTTATTTCTAAGTTTAAAAAAGAAACATTTAAAAAGCTTTTTTTTTAAGCTTTTTAATAAGGAATAATCTTAGCTTTAGATTAGTTTACTTATCTTTCTTTAGGGAGTTAGCCGAGTATTTTAAATAGTAAGTAAAGCTAGTAATTAGTATCTAGAATATAATTCTTATTATATAGTATAACGTGGTTTATCAGCGAGTCGATCATATCACCGAGTCGATCACTTTTTCTTGGCACAGAACTTTACACCTAAATAAATCAACCACAATATATTAAATTAATTATCGCTCTCTATATCTGACGAACTAGATATA